GAATTACAGGTGTCTACAGGGGTACAGTGATGATGATTGATCACAGCATTTACACTGGCAAAGAGTGAAGGGCAGTTTTGAGGATTTAAGGATTATTGGTCTCAGTGGGGCTGGAAGATGTTTGGAGTTGGCTTCCTGGAAGGAGCAAGCAGGGGAGATAAGGAGGGGTAGTTGGACAGCTTATGGTGTAATGGCAAAGTCTGGAGTGTGACTTTAGGAGTGAGTTGGTCAGGGTCAGGGAGTGGCAATGAGACCCAGGATGTTGGACAGGTCATCTATACGTGTGTTGAAACCATGAAGGCAGGAATGGTGTCCAAGAGACTCATGAGCTGAGAGCTAAAGTGATGGGGAAACGAGGTGTACTGACCCAGGCGTTGGTGAATGGTAACAACAATGGGCAGTGGGGTGATCAAATGATGATGTGAGGTTCAGGTGGCGAATAATGGCTTAGGGAGGAAGTGGGGAGAACGATCTCCTGGGATGAAGCATGCTTACCTTTAAGAAAATACTGGGTCATCCCATAGGTTCGGGGTTTCCTTCCCAAGATAATGTTTTTGTCTTTTGCCTTCTTGGCTTACGGAGGTTTCTTAGTGACATCCACCAGGTTGTGACAGGTTCTGATGGAACACGCTCAACCCTAGGAACAGTCTGTGATGGGAATGTCATTAATTAAAGAACAAGGGGGAGTCATTATGTTGTACCTTTGAAACTAATATAATGACATAATGGTACATGTCAATTATACCTCAACAATTTAAAAAAATATTTTATTTATTTATTTATTTATTTGAGAGAGAGAGAGAGAACAAGCAGGGGAGTAGCAGAGGGAGAGGGGGAAGCAGATTCCCCGCTGAGCAGGGAGCTCGACATGAGGCTCAATCCCAGGACCCCAATATCATGACCTGAGCTGAAGGCACACGCTTAATTGACTAAGCCACCCAGGTTGCCCCAATAATTTATTTTAATATAACAAATTGTCTGATGGCCCATGCTTAGATTAATGTGATTACTTAATTTTCAAGTCAGACTGGAATTCATCTGTAATCCTTACTATCTTGCCACCATTTGGCAAGATTTTGTACTTCTTTGGCTCTTAATATATGCAACTGTCTTTTTAGCTTAATACTACATTCTGGTGAACTTGTGCATCTTCCATTTTTTGGAATTATATTAAATATCTGACTGAATGCTGAGTGTCCCTCAGCTTTCCCTGGTTATTTGGTTACAGCTCTCAAGTCATGCCACTGTCACAAAGTAGTCCCTTTCGCTTACGGTTGGTGTTTGTTTTCAGATTTCTTATGAGGTAGGACATTTAGAGATCACTTCATTCACTGGTCTTGTCTCCTTTGAGCAACCTTACTTGGCTTTTGAGCCTTGTCTTATTTTTAAAAGAGGGTTTCAAAATTTTTTTCAAAGGAGTTTAAATCAACACAAATAATACAACAGAAATTGTGTTGAGAATTTTCACTGATGTGAAATCATTATTATCACCCCTAAAAACCCACTTCCAAAACTTTCCTGTGAAGCTCATATGCTTTTGTGTTCATCACATCTTTTTAAAATTGTTTTCCATGATGGGATTTCCTTTCCTGGACATGATGAAGCGACACTAGTGTTTTCGTTGGCCTCACGAATCTTACTGACCCTTAACAAGGAAAAACCACTGTTCCCTTTGGTATCTTTCATCCCACAGTCTCTCTATGGATACAGCCAAAGCATTATAATAATAATTATTATTATTTTAATTTAAATCCACTTCAGAGGAGAGTCCTCAGTGCTAACACAGCACAGTCCCTCATAAATTCTAATACTAGTTAGGAACCTACTATTTTTTAATTTTTAAAAATGTTTATTATATAATATGTCGGCTGAACTCAGTTCTATCAGCCTTTGTCTATGGGTGTTCCCTCCTAGACCTTCTAGCATGTGGCGCTCTCAGTTCTAGGGCATAGGATCTGGGGGGGCTCCCTGATATGATTCGGATGGGAGCCTACACAGTGAGACTTTGCTGAAGACCTCTGAGGATTGCAAATTCATCAGTAATCTCCACAAAATGCAATAATACAGACCAGTGAAAACCTGAGCAGCCCTCTTCGGGGCTGTCATGACACGGGGCATCCTTGATAAGGAGCGGAGGCCGAGTCGCCTGCCCCGAGACAGGTCACTTGGTAACAGACTAGGCTTGTGGGCGTGAAGCAACCTGTTCGTGGGCATCTGCCCCGCAGAGTTATCCAGTTGTGTCTTGGGCAGGTGACAGGTATTGTGCATCGAGGACTCACCAAAGCCTCAATCACAATGTTGCATCCTGTGTACCTGGAGCCTGCTGTGGCACTCAGGGATGACCATGGGCTTGTCATATTCTCCTAAAATACTCTTCAACTCTTGCCACTAAATTGGAACGTTAGATTCTTGTGGCTGGGGAAGTTGTTCTTTTCCTATGCATGTATTCTTCTCTACAGAGGAGAAGGCAAAGGGGCTGGGGGGCGGGTGGTCCTTCCTTTTAAAACAATTAGGATTGGGGCACCTGGCTGGGTCAGTGGGTAGAGCATGCGACGCTTGATCTCGAGGTTGTGAGTTCAAGCCTCACCTTGGGTATAGAGATTCGTTTAGAAATAAAATCTTAAAAATAAAATAAGGGGATTGACACCAGCTCTCTCTCTGCCTCCCCAGGGATTTCACAAAGTACAGTCAAGAGTGAAGGGGGATCATTGGGGATCTGTGGATGTGGCTGTTGTCCTCGTGGGCATCACTGATGTGACTGTGAGCCCCCTGCGGCCTCGGCATGCGCTCAGGTCAGGGTCCAAGTTGGGAGCTCAGACAGCGAATGCTGGGCTTGCTCCTACATAAACCTGTGTGTTCTCACTGTTGCTGGGACCAGTTCTGGCAAATTCCTAGTTCATTAACCCTATGTCTATGCTCACATTTAAATCACAGATAAGGCTCTGAGAGCCTTTTCCAGAATGGAAACAAGTTGCATTTTCAGTTTTTTTAGCATCGGTCCTCTTAAGAGGACCATGGTAAGAGGAGAGGAGGATGGTCAGTGAGAAAGAGGCATCTGTCAGAGACATGGAGGAAGTGACATACAGAGAATGCAGATTACCTGGAGGAAGAATGTACCAGGAAAACCAACCATTACACATTCATCTCATGTTCGACTCACTGTTTAAAAAAATATCCAGTTTTACTTTGTCCAGTAATTTCTGCTGGAAGCAGGGTTGCTGAGTTAAAGGTAAAATGAGTTTGTAGGGGCACCTGGCTGGCTCAGTCGGTGACGTGTGTGACTCTTGATCTTGTAAATTAGAGCCCATGTTGGTGTAGAGGTTACTTAAAAAATAAAATCTCAAAAAAATAAATGTGTAATTTTGATAGGTACCTCCAAATTGCCTCTCTGGAGTTTATATTCCCACCAGGCAGCAACGGAGGAGGGTGACTATTCGCCTTACCCGTGGAGTCTAGGTTAATGGTCATATTCAGGGACTTTTGCCAATCTGGTAGGTGAGAAATTGTTGGGAGGGCAGTTCTCATTGGAATGAAGTTTAGCATTTTCTCATACATGCAAAGAGCACTTGAATGTGTGTGTGTGTGTGTGAGAGAGAGAGAGAGACAGAGACAGAGAGAGAGATCTATTCATGTCCTTGCTTATTTGGAGGGGGAGGGGTTGTTCTTAATTTTTAGCAGCTCTCTGCATTTGATCAGGGAGCCTTTGGTCCTTGTTATATGACTGGCAAGCATTTATCTATTACGTGTCCGTCTTCAGACTTTGCCTAGCGTTGGCTGCTGGTGTGTGTGTTGTTTATTGTGAAGTAACGGTCACGTGCAGAAGTTCCTGTTGTGACTGTGACTTATCTGCACACAGAAGGGAGCAGACCCACAGTCCCTGGTTGGGAATCTGGCCCTCGGGTTTTGCAGCCAGAGGCTACAGAGTTCTTGCGGATGCCCCTTTCTTGTAGACTTTTGCTCATATTAAACCTTCTCATCTCTAAACCCCCCATATAAGTTTTTACACCAGTTGGTATCACCTTGCAGTCCAGTGCTTCTACGGTCCCTGGTGGAAGTTGCTTCTTCTCAGATCATCACTTAGCATCCGGGCTCATGGAGAGCAGAGGCCCTGCCTCCCCGCCGGCCTCTCCCACCAGGCCTGGCATCAGCTGGGCAGCTACTTCTGATCCAATGAACGCTTAATAACAGCCTAGTGGCCCCATGCTTAGCCATGGAGGAGTTTGGGGTGTCAAGGGGGGTAACTGAAAGCTCCCTTCCCACCTGACCCGGTGCCCATCCTACAGCAGACCTAGGCTCTGCCTCCTGGGTGGGACCAGGCCAAGCGCATGGCTTTAGCTTGGGTGATGGCTGGCAGTGTCCTGCCAGCTTGGCCTTCCTGAGCCTCCCTTTAGCTCTCCTAGGACCTCTAAGAAGCTCTCCATCACAGAAGACATCAGGATTGGACTCATCCACCTCCCTCCTTCTCCTCCCCTTTTCCACACTCAGAGATGTGAAGCCCATTGACTGAAGGATGAGGAATTGGAAGCAGTTCGGTGTTGCAGAAGCCATTGGTTTTAATGGGGGTGAGAGGGAAGGGAAGGGGTCTGAAGGCAGGACGGTGAGCAGTGCACCTCGTCTTGCGGCCGCTGTGGCTGGGAGGCGTGAGGGCACGAGGAGCACTGTGCGCCCTCTTCTCCGGCACGGGTCATGGAGGAAGAGCCTGGCGAGCAGGCCCGAGTGACGTTGGCCGCTCACTGCGGGGGAGCAGAAAGGAAGCGCAGAGCGGGAGACACCCTGACGGGCTCAGATTCATGCAGGCAGGACGGTGTCCTGTGTGTGTGTGCAGCGGAGGGAGGGGGGCTGGAGGCGCCAAAGGAGCACGGAGGGGGGCGGGCAGTGAGGCGGCCTGGAGACCTGGCCCATCCCTCAAAACACAAAGCAGCCAAATTGGTAGACCCTCACCCTCCACCCTGACCCCCGTCCCTGTCCTTGAGGTGCCGCCGTCCTGCAGGCCTCTGCCTCTACTTCTTACGCCCAATCTGTGCCATCAGGTGTGCGTTGGCAGCTGCCTTGGCCTGCAAGTTCTTGGCCTTGGCGATGTTGAAGAGGATGTTCATGATGTTAGTGGGGACATCGAGGGACAGAGTGAACTTGGTGCGCCGATCACTCTTGGCCTTGTCCTGGTGCAGCCTCCCCTTGAGCTGAGCTGGAGACAGGTATTTGTACCGGGTGCTTACGGCTCCGTTGCCACTCCCGAAGCCTGGGAAGGTCCTCTTCTTCTTGTCCTCTTCCTCCTCCTCCTTCTCCTCGTCCTCCCCTGAGGATGGGTCTTGGCTGGGCAGGTAGGGGAAGCCTCTCTTGCTCAGCAGCGGTGCATCCTCCAGCGGGCTCCGCCGGGCCTCCCACAGGGCTGTGTTGATGCAGCTGAAGAAGGACTTTCCTGGGTGGAACTTCTGGGAGAGGCCAGGCTGTGGGATTCCTGGGAGCAGCAGCAGCAGCAGCAGGAGGTAGGCTGGCATCAGCATCTCTCCCTGGAAGAGAAGACAGGGATGAGGGCAGAGGGTGTGACAAGGACTTGGAGCTCAGAAGGACCCGGGGCTTTGGTAATGTTCTACAACGTTCTCAAAGTGTGGTCTCAGGACCAGCAGCATCATCAGGAAATTTGCTAGAAATGCAAAGAATTCTCAGTTCTCACCCCCAGAACTACTAGATCTAAGTCTGGGGCCAGCAATCTGGGGCTTAACAAACCCTTCAGGTGATTCTCATGATTGGGAAAGTTTGAGCACCACTAATCGGCTGGAATTGATGGGTTATATTTCATTCAGCTTTGCCAGTCATCACTGGCCCTGAAAAATGAAAGGCAAATAGGTGAGATGAGCATTTAGTAGTTTATTTTGGTTGATTTTAGCGGCCGAGGACTTGCAGCTCTCTCATCCTTAGCAGGGGCCCTATTGAGTGCGTCCCTATTGCTTAAAGACCATGGTGGGTGGTCCAGCCAGTGTTTCTGAGGCAGATCTTCAAGGTCCGTCGCCTGCTTCCTCAGGAGCAAACAAGTTTGTGAATTTGGTTGGATTTACTATAGAATTTACAAAGCGAAAGTCAGTTTGGTCCCTGTGTCGAGATGTTCAGTGTTTCACAAAGGACACCTATGTTCTCTAGCGTGCAGGGTTGAGGCGACCTCAATCCTAAAATTATCAGTTTTTTCTACTACATGACGCTCTTGGCTGGCCATCGACCTGAATGAAGGCTATCGTCTGAGAACGAACCGGGAGGCACCGACACCCAAGCACATGCTTTACCAGGAGTGGCTCCGTGCTTCTCTGGGTGCTTGCTCGGTCGTGGTTTGAAATGCAGGGCAGGTCGTGCAGCTGTCCAGGGCTAGACGGACATGCTCAGAGGTATGAAAGGGTTATGGTCTATAGTGACCCTTTGAATCGAGTGTTTTATTTAAAAAAAAAAAAAACCCAGAAAACAGAAGGCAAAGGAAGAAAACCTAAATTTAGTGTAGGAAGCGTGCATGGCCATGAAAACATCCAGCGCAGTGTCCCTCCTGGAACCTGGGCTGTTTGGGTTCGAAGCCATCATGGGCATTGGGCCCCTGATCATCGGCGCTGGACGAGGCAGGGAGAAGGGCTGTGCCGGGCCAGTCCCACCCTCTGTCCCGCCTCCTCTGCAGCAACAGCTCGCAGCGCTCAGAAGACACCAGCGTTTAGTTGTGTGTGGTCACTGTGCCTTAAGACAATGGCCACGTGGGCAGCATGCCCCTCCTGGGGCCCAGGACCCCCCCACCCGCACCCCAGCCCCCTTGGCCTGTCCTGCCCATGCTCTCTCCTGCTCTGGGATGAATAAAGACCTGAGGTTCCCTTACTTCACTGTCTCCCTTCATCAGGTGCGAGGAAACCATGTGAGGTCCAAGGTGTGGGAGTCCATCAACCCCTCCAGAGGAAGGGCCCCGGCCTCTGCACGCCCGACCTGCCGATCCCCCCCACCCCGCCCCTCTTCTCAGGCTGCCTGACGGTCCCAGGGGGCATGAGGAGGGAAGGGCTGCGCTGTTCGCTTCGGCTGCTTTACCTGAACCTGGAGTTAATTCCTGCCTACGACATCCTTGGCTCCCACAAAAGAAAGCAAGAAAGGTGGGGTTCTTTGTGGATCCTGCTAGACTGCTTCTATAAGGTAGTTTTTTAGGAAGCAAAAAATAATTTGGATAAATAAGTCAACACAGGGGTCCTTCTGGGCATTAAGAAGTGCTAGCCTGGGGATGCCTGGGGGGCTCAGTCGTTGAGCACCTGCCTTGGGCTCAGGTCGTGACCCCGGGGTCCTGGGATAGAGTCCTGCATCGGGCTCCCCGCAGGGAGCCTGCTTCTCCCTCTGCCTGTGTCTCTGCCTCTCTCTCTGTGTCTCTCATGAATAAATAAATAAAATATTTTCTTAAAAACCTATTAGCATAGCAGATGATCCTTCTGTTCTCTGCAGGGACAGGTGACAAGCAGAGATGAGAGGGGCTGGCCGTGGAGGCTGAGCGCTGGCCTCAGCTCTGCGAATCATTGTCAACATGACCGTGAGCAGGTCTTTTCTTGAGTGGGAATGAACCCACACCCCCTCCCAGCTTCTTTAGGCCGTGAATGGACCTAGAACTGACCCTCAGACACCTGAGCCTCGTCCTCTCTCTGAAGGAGCACCTTGTGTGCCCTCACATGCACTGACCAGGCCAGCGCCCCGTGGAAGGCCGGTGCTTTCCTGGCCACTCCCGTTGTAGCGACCACCTGCCTTCCCCACGTCCCCCTTAAGAACCGGGTGGATCTCTTTGTTATTTGTTTTTACATCGTTAAGATTTCAAGTTTATTTGATCAGTTATGGAAAAATACGCGATGCTTGCTTCCTATGACCCAAGTGCCTGACCTAGGTGCCCGGGGCACGTGGCGGTGTGCGGTGACACCCACAGACTCCCAGACTTGGGAGTTAGCGAGACACAGGTGCAAGCCCACCCTGTCCCTCTTCCCCTGAGCCCCATGGGCAGGTCGCTTAACCTCCATGCGTTGCAATCCCCTCATCCGACAGAGGGGGACAGCAACGAGGACCTCGGAAAGCCCGCGTGGAGGATGAAATCAGGGTGGAAGAGCTCTTGCTCCAGCCAGACGCACTTCGCAAAGAAGGCTGCTTCCTATTATTTATGTGCGAACATAACATAAATATATGTTTGCACATAAATAATCTCTGGGTCCCGTGAGGATGAGATTCAGGTCACACGTAACCATCTGGGCGGTGACATCTGTATCTCCGTATTTCGGTCTCTCTCCATCTACATCTCTCCATGCCAGGTTCTTCTCGGCCACTCACTTGATCCTGCAGGCCGATATCTTCTTTACTGTGTTGTATTTCTGGCTTTTTTTTAGTTTTTGGCTGTTGTGCCACTTTTGTCATCCTCTCGCCAAGGCCTCTTCCGGCCTTGACCGAAGTCCCAGTCAGCTGCTTGCAGCCTTTGAAGAAGCTCAGCATCACCCAAAGGGATTGTCCAAGCACGGCCCCAGGGCGCCACCCCAGGAGCTTCTGGATCGGTGAGGTAGGGATGGGATGAGGCCTGAGCATTTGCGTCTCTAACCCGCTCCTACTGGTTCTGCTGCTGCGGGTCCGGGAACCACCCCTCGGCTGTCCCTGCCCTCCTGGGACCTGCTTAGAAATGAACTAGGGGTGGTAGAAAGGGAGGTGGGCGGGGAAATGGGGTGACTGGGTGACGGGCACTGAGGGGGACACTTGATGGGATGAGCCCTGGGTGTTATTTTATGTTGGCAAATTGAACACCAATAAAAAATAAATTTATATATATAAAAAAAGAATTGCACACCAGGACAGCCTGGGTGGCTCAGCAGTTTAGCGCTGCCTTCAGCCCAGGGCCTGATCCTGGAGACCCGGGATCGAGTCCCACATCGGGCTCCCTGCATGGAGCCTGCTTCTCCCTCTGCCTGCGTCTCTGCCTCTCTCTCTCTCTCTCATGAATAAATTAATAAATTAATAAATTAAAAAAAAAAAAAAGAATTGCGCACCAGCTCCCGGGACAGGCGACAGTCGCCAGGGGCATGTGGACCGTCTCTGTGGGAAAGTGGACTTGCTCTTTCTTGTAATGTCGTGTTCAACAGCTGCACATTCGGCTTTATCCTTCACTGAGGACCCAGTGGCCACCTGTGTAAACCTAGAAGGAGCGGTGGCTTCAGCAGCCTCACACCCTGGAGGCATCTTAAAGCTCCGGGGCAGGTCCCAAGGGCTTGTAAGACTGAAAGGATTTAAAGGCTCAGAAAAACCCAGTTCACAGAGAAAGGGCGAGTGGTGGCGGGAAGTAGTGGAGAGAGCTTCATTTAGGGTTTGCAAGGGAAGGTTTCCGCAAGGGAGCCAGGAAGTCCTTTGCTCCGCCCGGAGGTCTGATTCCCCAGCATTTCCCCTCCCATTCTTAGGATTCCTTCGCCATCCCCCCTAGTGGGACCCCGTAGAGGGGGACAAGTCCCAGCCACCTGCTGCGGGAGCAAGCGCTCCCCCTCGAGGGAGACAGACGGAAGGGGGGACAGCTCTCCATCCATCGTGGGTTTTGCTGGTTTGGGTACCTGACACCGCACCCTCCCCTGCAAGCGCCACCTCTGCAGGTGCCCCTCGGAGCCGAACCCGAGAGCCTGGGCGCCCCGGGAGGGATGGGCACCGGCTCTGAAGCCAGAGGCAGACGCACCCATTCCCCAGCTGCGCCCGGGGCCAGCGCTTCCCAGCCGTGGGAGGCAGGACCAGTCCTCCTATTTTACCCTGTTCATCTGCAAACACCGGGAAGAAGTTAAATTAAAAAAATTTTAAATATAAAACCGTGGCTGTGGAATCTGGGGGACCTTTACGCGTTTCGGCAGGTGTCATAACAAGGAGCTGCCCTCTCTGGTAGACCAGGGATCCCTCCGATGGCTGCGCAAGGCACCCTCAAAGTGAGCGGGCGAGGAGGGCTCCTACCTGAAGGCTCCCCCCCCCACCGCCCAAAGACAGAGGAAGTGCCCGGAGAAGCGTGTGCATGTTACGGCTAACGTGTCCCCGGCAGTGCTCATGTTCACCTCACTCAATCCACTCTCAGAAGTGGTATGTGCGCGCGTGTGTGTGCGTGTGCGCATGTTTGCAAGGTTGCCACGTTTGGGGAGAAAACGGAATTCCTCAGAGAACCCGGACATCACATAGAGACATCCAACGTCTATCTTTGTGTTCCTTCCCCCTCCCAGGTGGCCCCGAGTTATTACAGACGTGAGTCCCCTCCCTCTAGGGTCCCCAGCATGGCAAGGGAGAAAGGACGCTGGGCTTTGAAGGTAAGAGGACCTGGGTTCGAAACCCCCCTCACCCTCTCGCCTGCCCGGGGGGGGGGGGGGGGGTGAATCCCGAGAAAGAGAGACATCACCTGCCCTGCAGGTGTCCAGGGAGGAAGCAATAAATCCCAGCACCCTCCTGCTCCTGCAGCCAGGAATGTGGGGAACAACAGGCTGTAGTTTGTAGTTTCTGTTCACACCCGCCT